TCAACCAGTCACAACACCGATTCCCCAAGGAAAGGTCATGCGTCACTTACCATATAGACTTTCTCAACGAAATCACTTGAAGAAGGGATAGGAGAGAACTAGTAATTATCCTATATCTCAATATAAGAAAAGCCATCGACAGAGTTCCACATAGTCTGCTAGCCGGCAGGTTTTAATCACTAGGGATATGCAACCCCCTCCACAACTTGATAAAATCACTTCTCTGTGATAGAAATCAGACAACAAAGGTTGACTCGATGACCTCCAGGCCTAGACCAATTAGCAGCAGTGTCATCGAGGGGAGTGTACTGGGCCCCTCTCCTTTTCATAATATACATAAACAGTATATTTGAATGCTTTAACACAGGCGAGCCAATACTGCATGCAGCTGATTTAAAGGTGACTTATACATTTGTAAATACAGATATTGGTACATATGCGAACTCTATACATGAAGAATTGATAAAACTGGGTAGATGTTGTGACAGCTGCAGACCCGAGTTTAATACCGAAAAGTGTGGCTGGCTCCGCATAAGCTGTACAAACCTAAAAATCGACCTAACAATTCAAGGAAACAAAATCCACAGACTCAAATCTGCACTAGACCTAGGACCGAAATATTCATTAAATCCATCATTTTCAGAGCATGTCTCGAAACAAGTACAGAAATCACGCAGTATTATTCGCGGCAATTCGAAGGCTTTGTTACTTTTTCGCGTGTTATTCCTCAGTTGTTTTTTACTCTATAGGCGGCTTTTTAATAGGTCTCTCAAGGATAGTACTAAATATTCGGTTCTATTTTTTCATAAAATATAACTTTTCCGGCTGCAATTATCCATTAGAGCTAGCTTCTACTTAAGTGCTACTGTTATCGCATCTTTGCATTTATAGTATTTGTTAAACGTGTCTTCATACTCTATTTCAGTAGTTTTATCCACATAAACTGCTAATTTCCTACCGAACTAGACAATCTAAATCTCCAACACCCTAAAACGGACCTTACAGACACTTTGCTCATTCTCTTATATTTAAGAAGCTTAGCTCTGTTCTAAATGCCAGTGGTCCAAACTAAGCGTCTAACTCCACTGTTTGCTTCAAATCCCAGTAAAAAACACAAACCGAACAGAATAAATAGGCCTGCAGGAAGTGTGAGCACTACATCCAGTGATTTAACAACTAAATACAGATCTACTGCAGTAGATACGTTAAGTCCGGACGTTGAACTCCCCTTACTTTCTTGCGTAGTAAACAACATCATGGATGGTATATTTAGTGATACTACATGCAATTATCTAGGCCTCGTAGACACCTGCAAAACGTCTTGCGATATGAATTACACGGCAAACATTTTGACTCCTAGCACTAATCCAGCTTCTTGTTCTACACCTAGTTGTGAAGATAAAATCGAAGAATTATTTTCGATTATCAGGGGGCTTGAATTTAAGATATCAAAACTGGCACTACCTAGTGAAACCGGCTGTAATAGTACTTCACCTAGTAGGTTACCACAAACCGCAAACTTGATAAACTACGTTGCAACTGAAGTATATAAACGTGTAGTGCGCGAGAAGAACATAATTGTGTATAATATACCGGATAATGCACAGAATAAGAAGGTCAAAAGCACTATTCTGAATGCATGGTCTATGGATAATGTCTCGTGCAGCTGCCGTTGACTAAGAAAGTCTCATAAAAATAAATCTTGCCCACTCGCGTTGAAATTTGACTCGTCCTCTAATGCTGACATCTTTTACAGTAGGCAAACACTACTAAAAAATACACATTACCATACGATTACATTAGCTCGTGACAAAACACCGATCCAAAGGATGACTTATATGACTGATTCGAAAACTGTAAATCCCAGCTCCTCTACAACACCCCTAGGCACCCACACTTCTGTTGAGGCAGAGCAAAAGGTTGTGGATATTTCTATACAAAGCACACAGTATTCGGAAACGAACTTGCGTGAAAATGTAAGGTCCAGAAATAGTTCAGTGTATAACTCTACACTAAGAAGGAAATCGACCGTAGATCTAGATTCCTCTGATAACAATCCCTGTACCCCAGTGACAAACTGCAGTACATCACACCCAGTATTCACCAATCCAAGTAGTCTCAATTCCAGAAAGTGGAAGAGTGCGGCTACCAGTTCTTCTACAAAGACAACGCAGAATAAGAGACTAGTGCCACACACTAATTCACATGCTCACAGCTCGATACCACACCTCTCTCCAGAAACAAATATCCACAAAAACGATAGGTAGAAAAACCGCGAAACAGAACCCGTAGCTACCTGTCCAGAAAAGTAAACTGTCGCTCCACTACAAACCAAAAGATTGATACACTTAACTATAGGACGTCGAATATTGGTGACGTAAATCGCAACAATTCGAATAAGTTAAGCTTGCTTGGTAGGCCAACTCCACCTATTTGCATGCCTACACCCAACAGGGCTGACTATCCAGCGATCAGCAGTTTTGCTGAAACGACATTACCATTTTTTATACAGGTTCACAACATGACCTCAAACATACTACAAATGCTCACCACTCTCCACGGGTTTCGCCCCCCTCCCATAATAGATATGGCAGCTGATACAGCAATGTCTAATTACTGCCCGGAGCTCACCTTACATGACTCAGGTAATTCCCTTCTTTTTCTTCAACAACCCCCTATCTCCTTTTCTTCTGACAGCGAATCTTCTTTACGCCCGAACCCACATGAAAACGAAAATATAATTCACCCCCTCTGCATTTCTAGCTTTCCTAGGGCATCTACAGGCATAGACATTTCATTGTCGTCTGAGGACACTATGACTGAATCTCATCACCAGCTACTTCAAGACATAGCTAAAATCCTAAGATATGACTCAGCTAATATTAACATAGTTCTTATAAATGCCAGGTCAACTGTAAACAAGATGGCATACATCCAATCCCTGCTACTGATTAGCCAACCTACAGCACTAATGATCATTGAAGCTTGGTGCACAAGTGAAGTAAATGATGATTTCTTTCACTGCGATGGCTACTCATTTTTCAGGAAGAAAAGATCAGTTGGGTGGGGTGGAGGATGCATTATCTATGTTAAATCCGACTGCAGAGCTGTGCACTACGATGACCCTAACCTGAATATATGCGATACATTATGGGTGACACTCTACATAAATAAACAGCAAACTCTGTTATTAGGTTGCATCTATCGCCCACCCAACCACGACAGTGAACTGCCAAGTGAAATAACTGCAGCCTTTCATTACACTTCGAAATTAAACTTTACTTTACTTAACACGCCTGAAATTCATGGGAGCCCATCAATGCTCCTCCCCGCTACAACAAATTCTTAGATGCGGTTGAGCTATGTGGGTGGACAAAAGTATTCTAAGGCCCACCCGAAACCACAATATACTGGACTTGGTTTTCTTGAAAGACATTGCCTTATCCACCTTACGCATCAGCCAATCATTTCCTGGTAGTGACCACAACACAATAATCTGCACCCTCGATACCAAGCTTCACTCATCAAAATGCTCTACCCTGCGCAAGACATTCATGTGCTTCGGAAAAGCTAGGTGGGACGTATTTAACTCCTTCATTAGAAGCTTACACTGGGACCTTTTCCTTTCTAGTAGCAGCCTAGACACTATATAAATAATAAATAAATTTATTCTCATAGTACGGTACATGAGGGACGCCAGTTTACAGGCATCATCAAATTGTTACAGAAATAGAACCATATAATTCAATCACAGTTTACAGACAGTAGTAGGATATGCTTTACATGTTCGCTGGAGATTATACATACACTTGATAAATGTTAATCCCAGTAGTATGAAACAGTCTTTTCACTTATATACAATCATTTCTGTGCATAGTTGGAAAAATCTGCTAGATTGTCAGTGAGTGCAACACATCAAGAAATACAGAAGTATTGTCTTCGCATTAACAAAAAAAACCAGGTCTTTGGTGGATGGATTATAAGTGCCTGGGAAAAAAATAAAGGTTGAAGTCAATTTTCATACATAACTTTGTTGTGTGCTGAATCCTTGAATTATAGTTCATTGATGTGTTATTTTGGAATCAGCGATATGTTTATCTCATTTGATCTGCAATGTCATTGTTGCGAGTAAATACATAAGCTTCAGATGCATTAATTAATGGATTTCTACTGCTTGTGGGTATTTTCTTGGCATGAGGAAGGTTTTTGAATTTCAGCTGTTCCGACAGGAGTTGAGAATATTAACTGCTCAGCAACATTATGGATATAAGTTCATCACATCACCTACTAGCCTTTTACCAGAATGTAACTATATGCTTTGATAAACTTGTTCCTAGATGTAAAGAGAACTCAAGAAAAAACATTAAGAATTTCATTCCTATAAAAGTAAAGGCTAAGCTGCGAAAGCTGCACCGACAGTACCACAAAGAAAATGACTTATCATGTCTTGTAAATATACAGAAAATTCATCTCAGATTGAAAGAAAATAACGACAAAGTTCTACTCAGAGAAGAAAATGCAGCCCTTAAAGATAGCTCTAAATACACTGCAATCTGTAAGCTTTATCGCAAAAGGCTAAACTCTCGTAAAACAGATATACAATTCATCTTAGAAAATGGTGAGACTGCTACTGACCCTAAAATAATTTGTGAGCTTCTAAACTCCTACTTCTCACGGTCATATGGCTATGATGACAATACATCGCCACAACCTCTATTCCATGTACGTTCACAAAAACTTTAGAAACTATCAGCTTTTCTTTGGATAATATCAAGAAAGCAATCACGTCTCTTAAAATTTCAAACAACCCTGGTCCTGATATGATTCCCTCAACTTTTTTAAAATACGGTGGTGAAGACATCCCTATTCTCTTTCCCTAATTGTTCTCTATCAACTGGAACATGTCCAAATGCATGGAAAGCCACGCACATTACCCCTAGGAATAAGTCAGGCTCCTGTTCAAGTGTCATGAGTTACAGACCCATTAACCTAACTTCTGTTATTTCAAGGGTTCTAGAAAGATCGTGAAAAGTGCCACTTTTGACTTCCTCTCTCAAGAGAAACTTATCACTCCTTATCAACATGGTTTCATGAAGTCACGTTCTTGCACTACATGCCACTTACAATTTTTCGATCACATCTCACAACTTAAAGATTCCAGTATGGTCACAGTTATTGTATACTTAGATCTTAGTAAAGCCTTTGACACAGTATGCCACCGACTGTTAATATCAAAAGTCAAGTCTTATGGGATCCAAGGTTCTTTGTTAAGCTGGTTCAGTTCATTCCTAAGCAATGGGATACAAATGGTCAGGTTAGGCTCCCACACATCCAACCCCGTTCGACTTGCCTTGGCCCCGTTCGAAGTTTGTCGTTTTTTCCGCGTGGTTTTCGTTTTTATTATTCTTTCTAGTACTCCCACTTTTCAGGATATATCCTTAGTGTCACCGATTACTAATACAAATAGCAATATTTGTGTTATATCTGGACCTACCTTTGTAGTCACTGGATATTATCCTTGCTACTTTTACTGTTTCAGATTACTGATTAAGGTATTACCACATCGAGCATCTGACTCTCAGTGCCTATATTACTCTTGTCTTTTGTTTTGATATAAAATCAAACAACCTAAGTCTCATATACTTGCAGTCCGACAGTTCTGTATTTAATTTATACAAAATGCCAGTTAAACTATCGAAGCGTCGTGCTTCATTATCGGCTGAAAACTTCAGCAAAAGACATAAATCTAGCAAGCCTAAACAGCATGGCACTACACTTTCCTCTGATCTGACACAGGTGCTAAATATGTCAAAATCGGAAATCATTACCTTTTCACCTTCTTGCGTTATAAATGATTTTATCAGGGATATTTGCAATAGTACAGGTTGTGAGCCAGGCATTTTGGATTCCTACCAAGTCACACTCGCTGTTAATAAAAAGTCTGACACCGGCTCCTCTGATGTGGTTGAATCTACACCCTCCATTTGCCCTACTCAGTACTGTCATTCAGAATGTCCGAACATACATGTGGCCTCACTATCATCTATACATACTAATATCAAACCTTTTGACTGTGACAAAAGGAATGTTAACTCCCCCAAATGCTTAGTAACCTTAGACGTTGACCTTGATAATCATTGCAATACACAGGCAGATTTACTGTCATCTAGTTCCATTCAATTGGACTCTTTTGAGCAGGCTACACATATGCCGGCACAGAGGGCAGATTGCAGCACCACCGCTACTCTTAACGATAAAGCCCCCCATCGCAAAAATTTCCATCGGTCATCAGTGACCCATGGACACCAACCTAATGCCAAATTTGAAAAAACAAATTGCTCATTGCCTACACAAAACACATCCAACCAAGCCAATAGCCTGGAAAGCACAAACATCCTTCCGTTAGTCCATGATCTCTTACCCCTTAGGTAACTGATATAGCCTGCTGACTATCCTGACTATGATACGCTACAGTCTTGTGAGAGAATTATAGACCATATTTCCACAGAAGTGATCAAACGGGTTCAGTGCATGTATAATGCAACTGTTTTCAATGTGTCCGACAGTACGAACATTAAAACATTGAAAAACGCACTTTTAAAGGCATGCGAAATACCAGATTCCCATTGTACCTGCAAACGACTGCGTAAAATCTTCAGCTAATACATCTTGTCCAATAATGTTTGAGTTTAATAGCATTGTGGATGCTAGCCGCTTTGTAAATAACCAGCATTTCTTTAGGAAAGCAAGTAGCTTTAAAAATGTACGTATTATTCACGACAGGACACCAATCCAGCGTCGTGCCAAACAAAGTATCCCAGCAGATGAAATAAATCACCAAAAGGATTCAACCGGCCCCACTGATGTCAATACAAAACACCACCTAAACCTTAAAAGAAGCCCTTCACCTAGTTACTCTAAAATGAAGCTTGATATGGTTACCAATACTAAATCTAGTATTTCTCCAGTTGTTAAACAACCTGATAAGCACTCACTTGCTGCAAAAGATTTCAATAAAAATCTCACCCGCCAGGCTAGAACTATCGAAAACCCTTGTAATATCTTCACATCTAGCTCTAAGATTCCGAATAAAAATGTAAGGAACAAAATTCCTATGCCTGCCATACACTCCGTCAAGCCTGATTCAGCGTCTCCTATTACTCATACGCTTAAATCTCCCAAAAGGACGTCTATGGTATCAAATAGAACTGACATTAGTCAACCTATCTCATTCTCCTTTCCTCACCATTTTAATACAACCAATTGCAGCTACCCAACTTCTATTATTAGGTTGCGTAATACAGAATTCAACTATGCCCATATTCGTGGTGCGCAACCACATGGACTCAGTCGCCTAAACTTTCAGCATAGCCTGCTTAGAGATCCACCCACTAAATGCTACTAACCCAGGAACACACTCCCCCGACACCAAAACCGTCTTTACAACTTTCCAACTAATCAATCCCCTCACCATTTTTTCTCTTTTCCGCACCCGCCAGTAATGCCACCAATCAACCTGATATCAAACAGTCTGTTTCCTTACTCTCAAATGTGCCCTCTTCAGACACCCAGGATACCCCAGTTTCCGTATGCCTATCTCCATGCGATCGTGAACTGAGCGACCAACCATGGACACCATCTTCTTTTTCACAGAACCTTAACGAAAACGATGAAGGCTTTATGGACCGAACACTCGATGTACGTGACTTCAATTGTTTCTCAGCTTCAGACGGAATGTAGATCAATGCAACTTGTACTACAAAGTAAATACAACAGAAATGTACCAGAGGACAAAGAAAAAGTATGTGGAGTCTAAAAATTTGTTTATATTCGTTGTACATTGTAATTTGATGAACAAATATTTATTTCTACCAAGTCTTTTTATGCATCTATGCGTCTAGTTTATTTATAGTCTTTAGAGAAGTAAGGGAATTTAAGCGCGTTTAGGTACTGTAGTAGACTAATAGTTGATTCGTTCCAGGAATAAATAGTTTATTTATATAGTCGGTAGAGTGAAATAGTGTGTACAGAGAGCGTTTGAAACTTATAACCGTATTGCAGTTCCTGACCTCTAGGGTCAGATTGTTCCATATTCTAGAATACATGACTGTGAAGAAGTTTTCATGGAGTGTTGATTTAAAGGCTTTCCTTGTCACTGTGCAAGTTTGGTTACGCAGATCGTAAGAGCCTTCTTGTGCGAATTGTATGTCCTTACTGTCTGAGAATGATATTTTGTGTAGGACCTTATAGAAGAATACTAGGTTTATAATAAGTTGTCTTGTCCAAAGTGCGTCAAGTTTTAGAATCATGCACCGTGAGATGTAGTCTTTCTTACATTCGTAGCCAAGTAGTTTTGAGGTAAAATATCGTTGGATACTTTCAATTCTTAGCTTTTCACGTGTGTGAGTGCTGCTAATAATAAATGGACAGTATTCTAGTAGTGGCCTCACACAGGTTTTGTACAGAATGAGCTTTGCTTCATTGTCGTGAAAGTTCCTGAGTATGCATCTTAAGAGCATCCTCGACTTTTGAGTCTGTGATGCCACTTGCTCAGAGAATGTTAGGTTACTCGAGTACCTCAGACCTAGGTCAACGACACTTTGGAGTTTGGTTAGGTTAGCCGATTGAAGCGTTAACTTCATGTCGACTGAGGGTGCACCGAAGCAGATCCAGCCACATTTTTTAAGGTTAAATTGGAGGTTCCATAAAGACGACCAAGTAGTCACTTTATCTAGTTCTTTTTGCACAACATTCTGGAAGTACCCTAGGTCATCACATTGGAGTGTATAAGCTACTTTTAGGTCATCTGCAAAGATGAATGGTTTCCCATGAGAAAAGCAAGCGCATATGTCGTTAATATATAGGGTAAATAGAAGGGGTCCAATGACACTACCTTGTACTACACCAGAGGTGACTGGGCTAAGTTTCGAAGTTATAGATCCGAGTTTAACTATTTGGGACCTATTGTTAAGGAATGATTTAAGCCATCCTAATAGTGGGTCACGTATTCCTAAGGATTTCAGCTTATGCATTAGTAGTAAAGGTTTTAATTGACGATGCGCGCGAAGGCGCAGCTGAAATTGTGGGACGGATGGCTGGTTTTCTACGACCAGCCCCTGTCACTTGGAGGCCTATGATGGCTTCCAATCCTCATCAATGGAATTATTTGGTAAGTTTATTTTATTTTTATATTATTTTTATTAGTAGTTTTCATGTTTAGGCTAGGTTTTAGCTTCATGTTTACTATGCTGGGGCATTTAGGGACCATACGGTCATAGTTTGTTTAGGGATGCTCTGGCATAGGAAAGCTACATATCAATCGATAGCTCTCGACGAGATCTATCCTTTGACATTGGTTTCGACCCTTGTAGCCTCTCCTCAGCCTTCCTCAGGATCTTTGATATCTGGGCTTGCGCCCTCTGGGACTATGCTGCCAAAATTTTTCCAGGGAGGCTAGGACTTAGGGAAGCTATATATCAATGGATAGCTCTCGACGAGATCTACCCATTGGTACCGGTATCGCACCTTATAGCTTCTCCTCACCTGGCTCCAAGTCTGCCCATACGCTTTCAATTCTTCTTCACATGATCTCCTCCAGGTCACCCTTGGACGACCAACTCGTCGCTTCCCTTTCGGGTTCCACTCGAGCAATGGCTTGTCTAGTGATGTCACTTGCTGGTTTCCTCAGAGTGTGGCCAATCCATCTCCATTTCTTCCTGTCTATTTGTTTCGCAATCGGTTCCTGGTTGGTTCGCTCCCAGAGATCTTTGTTGCTGATCCTTTCCGGCCATCTGATCTTGAGTATTGAGCGAAGACATCTGTTAATAAAGGTCTGTAGCTTGTTTGAGGTGCTCTTTGTGACACGCTAAGTCTCTGATCCGTATAGTAGTACTGACTTCACATTGGAATTGAAAATCCGGATCTTATTTTTGACGCTGAATGCTGTTGACCTCCACACAGACTTGAGAGTAATGAAAGCTTGCCTTGCTTTCCCGATCCTTGCTTTGATATCCTCGTCAGTTCCGCCTGTAGTTGAAACAATGCTTCCCAAGTAGGTAAAGGAGGTAGTTTCTTTCAGGTTCCTTCCATTTATGCTGATTGCTGTCTGTTGTTGTTGCTGTGGCTGTTGGTGTTGGCCAGGAATCTTCATCACCTCCGTTTTCTCTATGTTCACCTGGAGTCCTATCTTTGATGCTTCTTCTGCCAACTTGTTACTTTTCACTTGCATATCTTCCAGTTTGTGGGAAATCAGACATATATCATCGGCGAAGTCCAGATCCTCCAAGTTCTTTGTGTGAGTCCATTTTATGCCTGTTTCCTCATTGCCCGCTGTCTGTCGCATTATCCAATCTACTGCAATCAGGAAAATCATTGGCGATAGTAGGCAACCCTGTCTTACTCCTGTCTTCACTTCGAAGGATTCCGTGAGCTTCCCGTTGTGGATTACTTGGCATGCAGCGTTGTCATACAACTGTTAGATGAGATGTATAATTGTCGGCGGCACCCCGTAGTAGCGAAGTTGTTGCCAAATCACCTCTCGATCAACGCTGTCGAAGGCCTTTTCAAAGTCGATGAAGTTGAGATAGAGAGGTGACTGCCATTCCAAACTTTGTTCAATGATGATCCGTAGTGTGGCGATTTGATCAATACATGACTTGTTTCTCCTGAATCCAGCTTGTTCCGGTCGAAGTTTTTCATCCAGGGCTTGTTTGATCCTTTCCAGGATGATGCGGCTTAGTATTTTGCTTGGGATGGACAGGAGCATAATTCCGCGCCAGTTCTTGCATTGACTTAAGTTTTGTTGAATAAGTGTCCTTTCTTCCAATCCTCGGGTACTTTGCCTTCTTTCCACACCTTCTCCAGTAGTGGCGTCATCAAGTCCGCTGTTGTCTCTGGGTCCACTTTCAATGCCTCTGCTGGGATTCCATCTGGTCCTGCTGCTTTTCCAGCTTTCAGCATCTTGATTGCCTTCAGGACTTCTGTTCTCCTCGGGGGGTTGATGTTCACTGGTAATTCTGCTTCCGTTGTTGGTATTGTTGGGCGCGTTGTAGGTGGCGGTCGGTTTAGTAGTCTTTTGAAGTGTTCAGCCCACTGTTTCCTTTGCTCCACTTCTTTGGTGATTGACTTTCCATTGTCATCCTTCACTGGCTTAATTTGTGACGAATTTTTGCCTGAGAGGTACCTAGTTGTTTGGTAGAGTGTTGCGAGGTCTCCTTTGCCTGCTGCTTGTTCTGCTTCATTGGCCATGGCTTCATAATACTTTCTTTTGTCTTCTCTGGCACTCTTCTTTACTCCTTTGTTCAGTGTATTGTAGCTTGCATTCAACTCCTGTTTCTGTTGCTCGTCGGTGCACTGGATAATCTTTTGTTTCACCATCCTTCTCTCTTCTATTAGCCTCCAAGTGTCCGTAGTGAGCCACGGTTTGTCCTGTCTCTTCTTTCTGCCCAGAACTTCCATGCAGGTTTCGCTCCATACCGCTTTCAGGTTGTCCCAGTGTTTTTCGACGCTGACCTCTTCGCTAATGTTGATTTGTGTCTCAGCTTTGTCCTTTATGCTTGCAGTAAAGATGTCCTTTGTATCCTGGTCCTTTAGTTTTTGAGTGTTGAACTTGGCTTGTGGTCTATCTGCAGCTCCTGTTTCTCTGAAAGCTTTTAATTTGAGTTGGATTGTCCCTTGTACGAGGTAGTGGTCTGAGCCAACGTCTGCTCCTCTTCTTGCTTTTGTGTCCAGTAGGCTGCGCCGCCACTTCCTCGAGATTGTGATGAAGTCAATTTGGTTTTTGGTTCGCCCATCTGGTGACACCCATGTAGCCTTGTGAA